CTGCGAACTGGTTTAATTTGGGCAAAAAATTCAAGAGACATTTTTTTTTAGAATGAAACAGGCTATCGGAAATAAATTTTTAAATGGTAAAAAAATAATAAGACAAAAAATTACGTTGGAAATAAATTTTAGGGGTTGCGTTTTCCACCCCTTACAACCATGGGGTAAACCAAATAAATTACTGGCTAAGTGTCTTTTTGGTAGTAGAAAATGTCAGGTTAATTTCAATATTGTAACTTGTTTAGTGCTTGTGAAAAAAATTGTTAAACAAATTTTATGTACCCCCTTTAAGGGGCTGTATCTTAACAAGGGATGCTCCAATGAAGTTTCTTTATATGAAAGATCCTATCTTTTTTTCGTTGAGGAATCACCCCCTTAAATGTTTTACACTTATTTAGTTACACCCTGTATATTAATATCTTGCACATACAGTCCGCCTCTGCAGTATTAAAGTGCAACTGTGGTACTTGTATAAAAGCCGACTCGAATGCAAATTACTTGATGTCTGTTAAAATGGGTACCGCAATATTTTCAGTGGTAGTGACTGCTATCTTAGCGATTTCTAGTGTTCAGGCAATCCTGAAACAATCTGTAGGTCAACGTAGAATCATTCGTATTCCAGGAATTTTATCAGATTTATTCACAGGACTTCACTCCCGAACTCAAGAAGCTTGCGGCAAACTTGCATGTCACATGTGTGTCCAAAACGGGCATTGACGAGGCCTTGATTGATAAAGTACTTAATGGAGAATTTGTTGAGGAACCAAAAATGAAGGTAAGTTTTATCATTGTTGTACATAGTTGTACTATTTTTTATATGAACAACTTTAAAATGTAAGGCTTTCAATATTTTTTTAGAATTTTTGATAATCAAATAATCAAACCTGGGATACACACTATTTTTAGGCGAGGGTTTTTATGCCCGTTTAGAAAATTTTCATGACGAAAAAATTTCCAACGAAATTTGCGGAAACAAAATTTTATATTGATCTCGAAAAGGAGTGCACAATGTTTTTTTTTTAAATCAACTGAGAGATATAGTAAGCTTTTATTATTGAAAAAATTAAATTTTTATCGTAATTATAATTACTTAAATTTTGATTTAATGCTAATATTCCAGTTTTAAAATTTCATAATGCTGTAACTTTAAGAAAAACGATTTTTTTTTTAAAATAAGAAAATACTTGTTTGCATCTATCAGTTCATTATTAAAAAAATACTTGAATTTATTTCGCTAATTTCGTTAAAAAAAATTCCGTTATGAAAGTTGAAACTATGGCTGTGTTCAGCGAATGGTCGGAGCGGTCAAAATCGGTCAGCGGACAAATATTTCGTTGGTCAGCCCAATCAGTTGATTGGGGACATTGGGCAGGTTTTAGTACAGTTCTAAAGGTCGTTCAGCAAATTGTTTGACTAAAGAAGTTTGACCGAACTATTCCGGCCATTTGCTGAACACAGCCTATGTTAGCGTAGGCATCGTCTCCCAAAAAAAATTACGGGTCCAAAGCTTTTTATTATCAAAATATGTTAAACTCTGTTAAAGTGACTGTATACCCGTAAGTAAAGTAAATATTGAGATAAATACTATAAAAAAAAACACTTCTTTTGATTCAACTAAAAATGGGATTTCACAATTGATTTTTTATAATTCTAATTTTGTTTCAGGCTTATATGACGTGTCTTCTATTAGAAGGTACATTGGTAAGTGAAAATTTCTCTTTTATTATCCACACAGTAATCACGATACGACTTTTGTATGGGTTTATTGAGATTTTCTTCTATTGAGAGGCTATCTATTTTTTAATATTTCGGCATAGATAGTTTTTTTTATAATCTTGTATATTTTAAAACGATTATTTTATTAAATCGTTTCGTAAAATTACTTAGGACTTTTTTTATTTAATAGCTTATTTATGCTACATCGACTTTTTTTAAATACAAATAACGGTTCCTTTCAAACATTATATTCTGTATTATAGTTATGCTTGTAATAGGTAGTTTAGATCTAGGAGAACTACGTAGAATTGCTTTGGTCTATATACATAGTTACATATTTTAATATTTTAGCATCATTGTAAGCTTGTTTCAAAAGTTGAAACGTTCCCCAGTTTCAGACAAAATTTGACGTTGCATCGTTATTCTAGAAAATCTCACATTTCAAAAATCGTCACTAACACTTAAACACGTTAAACTCAAATAATAATAATATCACAAAAACTAAATGAGATATTAACAATCCAAGAACATGTGGCTGAGGTTATGCGCAATGCGGTGCTGCCAACCGCATATCTCTAAATATTTCCATTAGAGATATGTGAGATCGTCGTTAAAGATTTCTGATATCGATCTGATTGTTTACAAAGAAAATTTTGAATTTGAGCTTAATTCCTCTACAATACTATCTGTTCTAGTCTACGATCTACTTTAAGAAAAAATTCAACGGCTGAAAATAGAATATATATTAAAAAAAAAGGTGAAAATATTATTCATCTTACTCTCTTATGTTTTATTTAACAATTTATTGTTCTTAATCAAGGAAAATATACTTAAAATTGTGTAGTACAGGCTGGTGCCTTGCCTTTAAAATATAGGTACTGGTATTTTACATTTTTTTGCTATTACAGATTGATGAAAAGGGAACACCAAACCTGGAATTTGGCGCTACACTGATTCCCGAAAATATTAGGGAGGAGTCTGTAAAGAATATTAAGCACTGCTATGCAGTTAATAATGGTAAGTGGCGATAAGCTACATTGTCTGTGGTAAGAAACATAAGTAATGCATAATATTCAGAAATTCGCAGAAATCATTTAATTTTTGTGTACTTTCATTAAATCTTTTAATTAAGCAAATCTTCCTATCTTAGATGTTACAGACTTAGAGGAGAAAATATTCAGGGTGTTTAAATGTTATTACTACATAAATTCAGACGTAAGTAGACTTTTATAACCTTAACATGAATTTTTAAGTTATTTTTTTTTTGTAGATATTCATTTTCTTCTGAGTATGAATAGCCCAATCGAAGAAGCAACAGGATCTTTTAACTTATTGGCTTGATGTACAACATTGAACTGTAAATAAAATTTTCTGATAATCTTGTGTTGGTTAAAAATAAATGCATTAAACTTTATTCCATTTGCTTTAACTATCATCGTAAAAAAAGTAATATTTCTAGGTTGAATTTAGTGGAGTGTAAGTACTTTTTATGAACTAATTTTCAATGACTAACATAAATGTAGTAAGAAGTTGACAAATAAAGTTGTGACAAATAAAATACTGTAGTAAGTTTGTCTCAAACTCGTTAGTATAGGCCTACTGTGAGGATACAAAACATTTAAATAAAATTTGGGACACGTGGTGTTAAATGGGATGAGGTAAGCTCCATTTTCAATCGAAAGTTTTATCTTTGGACAGAAACGACTAATGACGTCATCAATTATATTTTTTCCAGAAACATACCCAAATTTTTTTCCTGTTAAAAGCTCTCTTTTCTCTAATAAACTTTTATTAGAGAAATGTTTCAGTTACTTCCCGTTTAAAAGTTATAAGCAATATCGTCCTAAAGAGTCGCAAAAAATCACAATAGCGGTGGAAGGATCAAGTAGTCTTTGGAAAATAATTGAATGTTCGTTGTTTAAAGTGCATAAATCTCATTAAGAATAAATAAAAGATTAAACTCGATAATTCTTTAATACAGTTAAAACATAAGGTGATGATAACAATAAGTAAACTTAAAAAATTAGGAAAACGCTTTCATACTACATACATATTACAAGCCATTGACTATATAACCTCCTCTCATTTCTAGACATATATCCAATCTTCACCTGACTTCTTTGTGGGCTGTGTTTATTGACATTTCGTCGTTTAACTCATTACAAGCGTTTGTGATTTTTTTTTTTTTCAAATCATTAATATCTCGCTAAGGTGTTTTGTAAACCTTATTTCTTAAAAACCCCCCATAAAAATAATCGAGGGGTGTTAGATCTGGTGACTTTCCGGGCTACTGAATAGGTCCATTAAGCTTAATCCATTATTTTCTGGGAAAGTGTTATCTAAATATTGCTGCACAATCCTGGCCTTGTGGGGTGGAGCCCCGTCGCACAGTGGGGATTTTTGTATGGAGGTGAGGAAAAAGTATCAAAACGAAAAAAATTGAATTATATGTAGGAATCAACACTTAATACCAATATCTATTACTCTATAGGTATGTATTAGAAACCAAAAATATTATGTATGAAAATGCGTGTCAGGTTGCAGCACCCAGCACTCCCCATCCTTCCGAATTTACGAACTCGAACGAAGCTAATTCCCTATGTAGCGTTCCGTTATAAATGCAACTAATTATCTAAAAAGGAGCACTTAGGAGAACTTGAAATTGATTTAAAATGTAGAAGCTGGTATTAGACAATGTGTTGGTAGTGGTTTCCAACTGTAGGCAAATGTAGCTAAAATTAAAGGTCCAAGTGTTTGGAGAAATAGGGTTTTTTTATTCTATGTTCATAAAAATATGTTTATACAGAAAATAAAAGTCTGCGCTGTTTATTTTTTCAATTTTAGCTTGTTGAAATATCCTATTTTAAATAAAATACAAAAATAAAAATGTCAGCTCAAGCAATAAAATAATATTCGTCTTGAAATTCTTAGGTTAAATTTCAGTCAGTTCAATGAAACATACAAAACATAATGAGTTTGAAACGGTTAAAAAAAAACTAGTAGTCAGATCAAAGTAATTCTTTTTGATTTGATTGTAACAGTTATTTCGAAATTTAAAAATACCATTGCATATTGCATGTATATTGAATATATGACTTTTCCGCGAAATCCCCACAGTGTGTCGTGCTGAAACCATAGGTTTCTCCTTAGCTGCAAAGGCACATTCTCCAGAAGTGCACAAAGTTATTCTTGCAGGTAGGTAACTCACGCTGTTCAATGTATTTTCGTAAAAATAAGACCCAATTAAATGCCTACCAATGATGTCGCACCATACATTTACTCCAAAATGGCCTTGGTTTTGGTCTGGATTTACAATTTGGGGATTTCCAATGGACTTTTTTTTGACAAACCGACTTTCGTCCGTCCAAAGAACGTACCGAAAAAGGTTCTGATCAACAGCTTCTACATTTACTACAATTTGAGCTATAAAATTAAATCTGTTCTCAATGTGACGCTCAGGCAAATACTCCAACTTGTGAATTTTGTAGTCATGATACCCATTTTGGTCTTTAAAATTCGTTGAACGGCTGATTTATCCAAATTCAATTCCCGGCTAGCCTGCCGTATAGAATATTCGTGGATTTTCTTCGAAATACTGTAACAGTCTAGCTGTATTAACATTGTTTCTTATCCTTCGTTCAATTTTTCCGAATAGAAAATGCATCTTCATTTTGTCGTAAATAAATTAGCAACATATCAACTTTTTCTGAATGAGAAAACATTTTGTAAGCACAGAAGTTATACATTTGACGTTCGTATTGAATAATGACAAGTATTTTGTGACATTTGTGCACTTTAAACAACGGACATTCAATTATTTTCAACGACTACTTGATCCTTCAACCGCTAATATGATTTTTAGGTGGTATTTCTTTTGAGACTCTCTTACAAAAGTTTATTAGAAAAAAGAGAGTTTTTTAACAGGAAAATTTGGATATGATTCTGGAAAAATATATAATTGATGTCATTAGTCGTTTCTGTCAAATCCCAAAGATAATACTTTTGATTGAAAATGGAATTTACTTCATCCCATTTAACACCACGTCAATTTTTATTTAAATTTTTTGTATCCTCACAGTAGGCCCATACTATTGACTTTGAGACACCCTGTACTATTTTTTTTATTTAAAAGATATGCAGGAGCATATCTTTTTAGATTATGAAAAAGACATACTTACCAATTTGAAAAAAATAACAGTTTTTAAAACAAATCTTAAATACAAATATTGGCAAAAACCGTATTCATTTTTCGAAAGATTTTAACTGTACCTACGAGTCTATGAAATCACAAAGTCTTGTCTTAGATACGAGCACATTTTTAAACCTCATTATTTTTATGAAAAAATAATTAACTACCACTATAAAGTAATACTTAACTCCTTAGGCTCGTTAAGTCTTGTTAATTTTGTGCCAAGAAAAAATTTAATTATATATACAATACCTATTATGATTACTTTTCCTTAAGTGATTGTTTATTTTTAATAAGGGTAATTAAAGTGGTCGCATATTAATTAGAAGACAGGTACGAAACAGGTCAAAAAGATTTATAGTATTTGTAAACCATTAAATACAAGGAAAATGTTGTTTGGGGATTGGACAACATAGTAAAATATATTATCGGAAATTTACAAATAGGTTCTTGTGTCATTTTGGTAGCTTGCTAAGGCCACCTAAATTTCCCGGTATGAGTTCAACAGACTTTTCTTCACTTGAATTTGAAATGGTAGTTAGTAAAGAATTTTTTTGTAAATTTTCTAGTTTTCAAGATACAGTTTGTTAAAGTTATAATAATTAGATACCAAATTAGCAAACATTAAAACAGTAAAAAGATCAATTTTCTTCAATACATAATCTAAAGCTCTTTAAAAATATGCGTCCTCACCCAGTGAAAAACCTCTGTATTATTCTCAATTGAAAATCTTCAATATCATCGCAAACAGTGCGATAAGGAGAAATCCATAGAACTTACATCTGGCATCGAAGTGGCAACATTAAGGGTCCATTTCGATCTACCGATCAAAGAGAAATACTGCATTTGAATGGTCGCAAACAGCTACACTGAAGTGTGGTAGTGCAATGTCTTGAGCATCCAAATGTTTGTTCTTATGTTCAAAGGAACATCTTCTAGATGATGAGGAAATTTAATTTTGAAGAAAATGTAGGTGTAAATCGGCTTCAAAAAAAAAGGTAATCCTCTATTATCCCTGATGATGCTGAAGGTTTGTTTCAATAATTGTGTGCGGATTTTCATAAGCCGATCAACTTTGCAAAGGGCTTGCACTTTTTGCACATGAAATGGAAAGAGCTATTCATCGCGAAGTACTCTCCATATATGTCCCATTGCTACTTCAACATCAATTTTTCTGGACTAGTACTTGGGCATTCTTTAATCATATTCACAACACTTTATTCCTAACATATTTTTGGTGTCCTCTATTTCCGTTAGAAATTAAACAAGTTATTTAAAAAAATAAAGTAAAAAATTAAACATTGGCAAGCTGTATCCTGAAAACATTTGATATTTCGCAAAAAATGTTCCTTTCTAACTACCCTTATTTTAGCATGCTCAATCACCCCCTTAATTGTACGATGCATTTTAAAAACAGTCTTCAGTCCATTATACCCTGGCAAGTCTATCAAATGAAATTAGTCCGTCTCTGCAATCGTGATTTACCTTTTTTGTATAAAAGGCGAAAAGCAAATACTGTTAAGTAGGTACCCCTCAAGATGGACAACTTACTGTTTGTCGTTGTGATGTTTACGCTTCTAACATTGTCCATGGTTCAAGCAGTTTTGGACGAATCAGTAAGTAATGCGAATTGAGTGTAATTTTTGTGATTTAATCTGATTTTATATTTAAGGAGTTCACTCCCAAACTTCTAGAACAAGTCAAAGCATTGCACGATACCTGTGCGTCTCAGTCAGGTGCAGACGATGGCCTGATTGGTAAAATAAAAAAAGGAGATTTTGTTGAGGATCCCAAAATAAAGGTGAGCCATAAAGCCTAGTATTTATTATTTCATTAGCATAATTTAGGAACATATTTTTTTTAACGAATAGTGTTTTGTCATTGAATATTACTCTATAATGAAAGTTGATGCGAATTATACGAGCAATTTTGCTGAAAACTCCTCATACAATTTTTTATTTGATTTTAAGAATTTTGTGATCAACTTATGATGTACTAGTTTATGGGGATGTTATTGCAGACAACTTCTTATTTAAGTCTCTTCATTAGCAAATAAAATGAGGACAGTAGTATAAGATTTTAATTTAACTACCCTTTAATAGATGGCGCAAGTAACAGCCATCATTTAGGTAGCTGGATTATACTTGTACATCAGTATGCACATTTATTCGCTTTTTAACAAATTAGTATTGCCAAAGCATACGAAATGAGATAATCGTTACATAATATCTTGACAGATTATTCAGCTATGTTCAACAAACATTAGATTTTTTCAAATACATACCAGCTTACTGGTGTCAGACTTGTCATTTCATTGTTTTGAAAAGATACAAATTCTAATTGTTTTTTTTTAGACAACATACTTTCTTCTTCTACGATCACATTTGTCACGTCTACAGAAATTTCTACTTATTCAATCAGTACAAAAAGTTTTTTTTTTGTTGGTAGTAATTTTTGTTTATTACAACGAATAAACAATTCACATATATGGAATTTGTTATTTTATAATAAATAATTACTAAAAATGAAACTAAATCTCTCATGGAACAATTTTGAATTGTTATTTTTGGAGTGGTCCTGGATTCCACGATGCCTTGCGTCAGTTGCTGAAGTAGACTGTATTCCAGTTGAGAAATGTTTTACTCTCACATTATTATTTAGATAAGTTAAATGCAAATTGGCGTAGATAATGTTGTATCTTATATTTAAAAGCAATCAATATGATACTTGCGATTCAACTGAATGAATTATTTTGCATGCAATATTCACTTTGGCGTAAATTGAATCACCAATGTAGCCTTCTACGACGGTACTGGAACGCCACCCTCGAAGATATTTTAATGATAAAAGATCGACCCCAGTGGTCGCAGAGGATCGTCGGAATGTGCCAAGTGTGGGATTGGGTGTGCTAATTTCAAAAAGGAGGCAATGCATTTGCCATCCCGATAATTTAAGAATGGAGTTGTTGATAGATTGGTAGAACGTAATATACGAGCTTTAGTTTTTTAGATCTCCTACATTACTATTGCAACCTCTAATAATTAAGATAAATGTTACCTTTTATCTCGTATCATAATATGAACATTTTCTTCAAAAATACAAGTTTATATCAAGTTGGAAATTTTGATAATTTTTTTGTCGGAAATGGTTCAGTTTAGGATCAATGTCATATAAGGTTTTTTTTTTATTTTAATGTATTCTATCGTCTGTTAAAATTAAGGCAATCAAACTTCTAACACCCAACACCCTGTATAAGTACAATAAATTTGCCTGCTCTCTAACTTACTTTGGGCAGTGACCGTAAAAAAATAGGATATAAAGGTTTGAAGGAGTTTTAACTTTTTTTAAACATTTTGTGATTATTGAATCATTTTAAAATCCATCAACAATCCAGCACACATTTCCACCAAATTATACATTAAATAATAATAGTTTTCATAATTTTCAGAGTTACATGAAATGTGGCCTCACAGAGCTAGGAGTGGTGAGTTGTTCATTATAATTTTCTTACGCTAAAACCACACAGATAGCTATTCTGACTATATTCAATCATGTGTAAAAGTCGTTAGCAATCAGTAAAATAACAATCTTTAGAAACGGTGCTGTTGTACATTGACACCGCTCGTCATCAGCGACGACAATAAATGTGCCTATCACAGCGACCGTACTGTGCATAATGGTTCCGGATTCTAAAACTAAAGTGAAGCTAACATAACTATGCAAATTGTTAAGATTATAAACCAACGATTTCTAACAAAACTGAGAACATCTCGGAAACGTTGTTCTTTCACTTCTCGCTGTTGCAGATGGATGACAAAGGCGAGATCAGCGTGGACATGGTACCTGAGCTAGTCCCAGCCAAATATGTGAGCGAGAGTATAGCGAATACAAAAACTTGTACGGGAAAAACAAAAGGTGAGAGTTTCCGCATCATTTTCAAAAGATTCTCAACTATTTCATTTTTACAATTTTAGATATCGCAAACTTAGAGGATCGAGTATTTGCTTTCTTTAAATGTTACCACGACTTAAATCCTGAGGTAAGTATGTTTGTATTGGAGTCAAATCACGTCAAGTCGACCCCCATTTTGAGTTCATATACAGTGTAGGAAAGTACCGATGGTCTATCAGAAGTTACGTGAAAAAGATAAAGTCAGCCATAGAAATCCATGTGATAGACAAGGATGGCTATAATGAAGGCGTCTAATAGTCAACGCCCATTTCGCCCTTCCACAAATAAGAAGTGGATCTTATTTGTGGAAGGGCGGAACGGGCGGTGACTAAGAGACGCCTTCATTATAACCCATCCTTCTCTATCGCATTGATTTCTATGGCTTACTTTATCGCTCTCACGTAACTTCAGATAGACCATCGGTACTTTCCTGCCCTGTACATATTTTAATCAAATGTAATCTTTATCAACAATCATACCCTAAAACCGTTTTTCAAAGTGTTCATTTTAACAACAATTTTTTTTTTTCAATAAACATTTTCGGGACTAAAAATTAAAAAATTGATTGTGTAAAAACCATTAAAGATATTTTATTTTATTAATAAACAAAGACAGCAAAAATAAAATGAATAAATAAATGTACCTACATCTTAACACCTACGATTTTTTAGCTATCCAACATACTACTGTTCTAAAATGCACTGCACAAATTAACATTAATTTGATAACCAACCTTTTATAAAAAATACGCCAAGAAAACTTCTTCCAAGTTTGTTTGTATCGCATTTTCTGTCTTCTAATCTTTGAATAACCAGTGTTCCTTGTCGTAATTTTTTTTAGATTTTGGCGGAAGAAATGCCAAAGACGCAACTTCGGTTCTGGTCGGACAAAGACTCTATCACGTTCTACACAAAATGAGAATCGGAAAATTTATTATTTATCAGCAACTTTTTAAAATATGTTTTCGGGTTTGTTTTCCGTTAAAAAACTGCAATTGTTGCATTAACATGTACATATCTGCCTCCGATCTGAACCTTCGCATCGATCAATTTATTCGAGACGTATCTAGCGGCCCCCTAATTCCTGCCGTGTATTTTATTGTCGTTTGTGCGTGTATGAGTGGTTTGACGTTTTGCTTGGTCGAGTGTATGGCACGTGTTTTTATGGCAGCATTATGTATTGTGACCATTTAGTCTGGTACTACAACGCGTATTGCCGCTTACTAGCATAATATAGATTACTACTGTTTATTTACTTGATTGTCACCACAATGTTTCCGATGTCTACTTGTAATATAATGCACATACTATTTCAGATATTTATTTTCTTCTAAGCACGACAACATTGGCCTGACTAAACCTAGGATTCTGATTTTTCAACTGTTTTGCGATATATGATATATGTGTAATTTTTTGTTTTATTATTTTAATAGCAAATGTAGTATTTACAAATTAAAGGCATACCTACGAATCAACGTGTATTTTTTTTTATATAATAGTTTTATGTAAGTTTTTTGTCTACAAGCGTTACAGCTCTTAAAAGCTGTTTAGTCTTTTTTTCTAGCTGAAATATCAATCTTTAATAACTATTAAAAATTAAAACTCGCTAATTAAGTTTTTGGAAGGAAATTGATAGATTATGGAAATATTACAGTCATAAATGTGTCACTTCGTGAAGTAATTTTATTGTAAACATAAATAAACGATGATTAATTTGCTAAACAGGTCCGAAAGGTCAAGAAGAATCTACTTTTTTTAATGAGTTGAACCGTTGAACTGAATATATCAAAACACAGGTTCTATATATATATTTTTTGTACACGGAGTCCCAATATTACAAGTCCTTGAGTCGAAATAAGATAATTTAATAAATATTACATCCAAAGTTGCTTGGTGTAGCCGCAAATGGGCCACTGTTGTTGTTTTTCCATATTCTTTGAAACTGACTTTCAGAAGGGAAAAAATCCTCATGCAAATTACCTTCCTTCATTTCGTTTTCTCAATCTGTTTTGATGTAATTTTTTCTTTTTTCATTCTTGAAAGTCAGTTGAAAACCGAAATCTTTAGCAAGTCCATAATTTTTTTTCAAACTAGCCTACACCTTGGCAGATAATGCAGATAAAAAAATGGTTGAGAATTTATAACTTTCTGCAGTTCAATAATATTTTATTTCAAGGTACACACCCTGATAAACAAACTTGTTAAAGGAAAATCGTTTCCTGAAGGTCGTCTTGAAGTTAGTTAGTTTTTTCTCATTTATATTAAGCATTTAGATTTCTTTTAGACCCCAAAGATCTGCAATTCATGAAATTTTATTTGGGCCTGTACAAGAAAATTGTGAAATTACTAAGAAATTAAAGCAAAATGCACAAAATTTAAACCAAAATAAAACAAAAACCTCAAAACAGCCTTGGAATACATAAAGTACATCATCGACCAGGGCGGATCTGTCGAAATACCTCACTTCTTGGATGTAAGAGGGGGCAAGCTAATTTTTGCCGGAATACCTTCAGTACGACTCACATAATAAAAGTGTAGATCCCTAGATCTGTGCGAGGTCCGGAACATTTTCAAAACTGCAAAAATGTTTAAAAAATTTAAAAAAATACCTATTTTATCTTAGTTTTTTTACTTGTATCTTGGAACCTAAGCATTTTGGAAGAATATTGAAGAGGGAAAAGAGTTTTAGAATTGAATTTTGCACAATATACTGTAAGTTAATAATGTTTAAATTTATTTCCGTTGCAAAATAGCAATAATTGATGAAAAAATGCAAAATAATCAATTTTTTTGGATAATTTTTTAAAAATATTTTAATTGCTCCGGGGGCATTCTAATTTTGATAAATTCTAAAACTTTTTTTCTTCTTCAATATTCTTCCAAAATGCATAGGTTCCAATATATAAGTAATAAACTCAGATAAAATAGGTATTTTTGCAATTTTGAAACCGAGACGACTCAAAAAAAATTGAATTGTTTGGGTAGGCCAAGGGGTGGGTTAACATTTGAAGGTGGGCCATGGCCCACGCAGGTCTTTTACTTTGCTTCAAATCCAGCCTAAAAATGTTCCTAAAATTCTTATATTAAAAAATTTAAAGCTTGCGTCAGGAGGCAATTGAGCATTGTTGTAACAAATTTGGGGAAGGAGCTGGCTGGCATGACTACAAAAATTGCCTTCAGGTAAGTTTTATGCCACTCGATTGTTACTCTAATTTTCCGCTTTAGTTTTATTTTTTTGGGGAATATTACCCAGTTTAATTGATTAATCCCAAACATTTTTTGGTCCTTCGAGACGGATTTGAACCAGCGACCTATAGATTTTTCCATTTTAACTGATAAACTGACCTTTTCCACTTTTAAAAGAAGCTTACATAGATTGTAAATATGCCCAGAATGACAAAACCATATTTTCCGAAATCAAAAGTATCAGACAGAATTTAAATATATTTGCCATGAATTTGCAAAATAATGTTATTTTTTTTCTGAATCCTGATTTTAGTTTGCTTTCATATTGAAATTTAGTTAAAAACAGTTTAAATGTTATTCTTTAGTTATAGGGAAATGGAATTTCGTCTCTTTCATTGTTTCAACTTGAAAAATTAAGATTTTGTTTCTATTTAAGGCTAATAGGAAGTTAGGTATTGTGATATTTTTGTATTGTACTGTTTATTTCCTGGGGTACCCAATAAATTCATTCATTTTGTTATTTTAAATGAAATATTATATTTGCCTTTTGTTAATTTGTCTACTAATTTTAGGATTGGGAGCATCTTGATCTCGAATATACAGGGTGTCTCATAATTAGCTGCCAACCCTGAACAGGCCGATTCTATGATCAAAACTAAGTAAAAAAGTTCATATGAACATGGGTCCGGAAATGCTTCCTAAGGGCACAGGGACCCATTGAAGAGGGAGGAATGGAAATCATTTTTTTGCAATATCTCTCAATCGCGTTGTGATAAATGAATGAAATTTGGTATACACAGCTAAATTTTGATGAGCAATTTGATGGACTAATCCATTTATTTCCACAAGGTCCATTGGGGTGGGTACGGGGGGGCCCTTGGTACTTTGCGTGTGTAACTTTTTCATCTTTGACTTTTTAACAAATTGGACAGCAAATTCCGTTTTCCCGAACTGTTTTACGTTAAAAAGGTACTCTTGTTTCAAATCGTTATCTTTAACGGTTTCTGAGAAAATCGCTCTTGAATTAATCCCACTTTGGTCAATTTCATAGTAATTTAAACAAAAAATAATAATAATAATTTTCCTTTCCTCTCTTTTCCATTTAAAGGATTAATTTTTATTTAATTTAATTTTTTATTATTATTTTTTTATTAAAACTAGATTAAATTGAAACAAAATATTTTTTTTTGTTTAAATTACTATGAAATTGACCAAAGTGGGATTAATTCAAGAGCGATTTTCTCAGAAACCGTTAAAGATAACGATTTGAAACAAGAGTACCTTTTTAACGTAAAACAGTTCGGGAAAACGGAATTTGCTGTCCAATTTGTTAAAAAGTCAAAGATGAAAAAGTTACACACGCAAAGTACCAAGGGCCCCCCCGTACCCACCCCAATGGACCTTGTGGAAATAAATGGATTAGTCCATCAAATTGCTCATCAAAATTTAGCTGTGTATACCAAATTTCATTCATTTATCACAACGCGATTGAGAGATATTGCAAAAAAATGATTTCCATTCCTCCCTCTTCAATGGGTCCCTGTGCCCTTAGGAAGCATTTCCGGACCCATGTTCATATGAACTTTTTTACTTAGTTTTGATCATAGAATCGGCCTGTTCAGGGTTGGCAGCTAATTATGAGACACCCTGTATTAATTTTGTTAATATATGCTACTTTTATACTCACTGAGGTTTATTTCAACATAATGAGAAAACATTTGAATAATTATTTTTCCAAGTGTTTTAACTTCGAGTGTCGTGTATTTTTCCAATTTTTTTAAATGCTTTAAAAATTTTCTAATTTTATTCAGTATTTTTGCGAATTGCTAAATCTCTCTTATAAGACTTTCAAGAAATAAAGTTTTTATGTGAAACTGGCATTACTTTTCGAGATTAGAACTGAATCGTGCTGATATTTATACAATTTCTAAACTTTCCATTATCAAAATCCATATCTCATATTTTTGACGATATACTGTATCTATCTACAAACAATAATAACGAGCGTTCAAATAAAAACGTGGTCGAAGTTAGCTTTGACACATTGGACGTAGGGAGTAGCTTATAGCGACCAACTTAACCTCATTTCTCAACGAGCTGTATAGCAGCTGTCAGTTTCAATAACATTAATGACTATATAACTTTATTTTAAAGAATAATCGTGATAACAATAACAAACAATTAAAGGAGCTGCGGAAAGTGTCCCCCTCCTTGTTATAACAATAAATTAAAGCAGCTGCTGAAAGTGTCCCCCTCCTTGTTCCAAGCACTTTTCACACCTGTTCCTCAAAGAATTAAAGACATTTTCTAAGATGCTCGGGGTATTGTTAATTTCACGAATCTTGTCTATAAGTCGAGCCTGCAGATGGTTTAAATCAGGAATAGGCAGTTCAAAAATAGTGTTTTTAAGGTAAGGCCACAAAAAGAAATCACACGGCGTAATATCACATGACCTCGGTGGAAATTCATGTTCAGCATTGAGACTTATTAGTCGATTTTGGAAAACTTCCCTCAACATATTCATCGTCTCGCCTGCCGTATGTGCCCTTGCGCCATCTTGTTGAAAGTAAAAGTTTGTAATTTCGTTTTCTTCCAGCTGGTTAACAAAAGGAGCGATAATTTCTTCTCTATACCTTTGCGCAGTAAGAGTACCATTAAAAAAAATAGGTCCATAAATCCTCCTTCGATTGAGAGCACACCAAACTCCAATTTTTTGAGCGTGTAGAGGGCCCTCGACAAAAAAGTTATCTGGTTTTTCAGAAGACCACATTCTCATATTCTGTGAGTTTACGTAACCACTTAAATGAAACCAGGCTTCATCAGAAAAAAAGGTGATATTATGAAGTTCACCGTAGTTGTTTAAAAACCATTCACAAAATACAGCCCGTCGCGGAAAATCAACTTCATGAAGTTCTTGCTGACAAGTTAAACGATAGGAGAACAAACGCAAATCTTTTTTTAACACTGTGTGGCAGGTACCGACTGATACTCCCACCATTTGTGATAAAACACGTACAGAAGTTCTTGGCGCATTTTCCATTATTTGTTGGACATTTTCTTTTAATTCTTCAGTCCGCTTTTTAGGTCGGCCGCTTCCTTCTTTTCTTGTTACACTGCCCGTTTCACGAAAAACATTAACACAACGCTGAACTGCACTTTGAAAAATTTTGTACTCAACAACGCCGGGAAATTGATTTTGAAATTCTATGAAACATTCCTCAATAGAATACTTCCATATTCCATCAATCTTGCGTCCATTTCTAAAGTAGGACTCTATGATAAACACTTTTTGTTCTTGAGAAAACACCATTTTAAACGCTTTTTAAAACGAAAATATTCAAATTGATAGCGGCGATATAGCGCTTTGACAGATGACGTTTAAGTTCATTTGCTATACGCTACGCCCTACGTCCAAATTTTCAGAACCAACTTGACCACGTTTTTATTTGAACGCTCGTTATTTATATTCTCATATACGATCTCGAAAACGAGGTTGCTTTTCCATATAAGGCACGTTGTGCGAGGCAAAAGTCCCACCCCGTCTTGCCCATATAAAAGGGACACCACAGCAGCAATGCATATTTGTTAAAATGAACCACTTGGTGTTTTTAGTGGCATCCCTTTTAACGGTGGCGTCAGTGCAAGCCGTCTTGGACCAGGCGGTAGGTTAACTAGGACAGAGGACTAGTGATACCCCAAGTTTAACCCCCTTGAACGTTTTAGAAATTCAGTCCCAAACTTCTAGAACTATCGAAAACTGTACACGGAACCTGTGTGTCTAAATCCGGTACAGACGAGGCGTCGATCAAGAAAGTAATAAACGGCGAATTTACTGATGAACCGAAAATAAAGGTGAGTTCAAAAATAGAAGACATTTTAATAGTGTTTTCGAAAAGAATACTAATTTAAATAATTGTTCATTTATAATTATAAGAAAACAAGTCTAAAATTTTCGACTTATTTTTAGGAAAATCCTGTATTTGTCGGACAATGTTAACCTTAATTACACTGAAAATGAATAATTATTGTAAAGATTTTTTTTTTCAGTTTCTTAATCCTCGCGATATTACTAATGTGTCGATTAAACTTGTTTAGTCTTATTAATCCATGAAAATAATAATTTAAGTGGCAATAAATAATAATTTAAGTCGCGACAGACGCGTAGCAACTTCGGCAAAGCTTTTAATTTTTTTAAACCACGTGAAATAAAAACTGAGGCTTTTTTGTTGATCATACAACTGTTTGTCTTTGTAGAACTGCTAGATCTCCCTCTACGAAAGATTCCTTTAATGATTATGTTCCTGCAACCGTTTTTTACAAACAAATTTATTGCAGGTTTACATGAGATGCATCCTCACAGAAAGTGGAGTGGTAAGTGTTGAGAGTTTTATTTTACTTCTTTTTGTCAAGTTTTAAAATATTTTTTCTACGTTCATGCAATAAACACAACTTTATTGAACTATTTTTACTAGAAAAAGTGGATCTTTATTGCACTAGTGCAGTAAATATTTATTGCACTCATCTGTCATTATAGTACAGCGGTTTGTGATCAAGACAAACATAAACATTCAAATGAGCGAAATATTTAGTCCGTTTTCTGTGAGATTGTAATACGTTTCAAAGAGTTGCGGATTTTATTTTATTATCAATCATATTTATTATGTACTGGATTACGAAATTACTAGAAAATGCATTTTTTTCTAAAATGCCATATGATTACAATTTATAAACACAAACTATGATTTGGATAATGCAACTCTGCAGTTCTAGAAATGTCAGTCAAAAATTAATTTTGACATTTAAACAAAGTTTAAAAATGAGTGATATTATTAGAAAAATAGATGATAGTGATGAAGAAGAATTTGTTGGGACCCCACCAGAAGTTAGTGAAATAGCAAATACAGCGTCATTAAACTTATTACCAAGCAAATCAAGAACTATATGAAAAAAGTTATAATCGTTTTAAAGAGTGGTGCTTTTTTTATTCTTCTACACCTAAATAAAACATTTTTTTTTCATGAACGTAGAAAAAATATTGTATGCAACTCGTGCAAAAAGTGTTTATTGCACTCGACGTGTTGTCAAACTCGGCCTAACGGCCTCGTTGGACAAATTCACGTCGCGTGCAATAAACACTTACTTTTTGCACTTGTTGCATAAATAACTATTAACGTATCTCCCTACATTTCTGGTTCATTTTTTGGTCATAAATAGTTTTCAAAACACTTACTTTTTAAGGGATTGTGATACGTCTATGAAAACTAGAATTATTTTGTGTAAAGACAAAGATAGGAGATATAGCCTTGACCTGGGACAAGTTTGTTTACTGGTAAAGTAAGTTTACAGTAAAAATAAAAAAAATAGTTTATGGTTTTGCATCATGATACAAGAACAACCTGTCCTATATCTTTACCGATCCAGTTTCAGTAAAGCGTAACCTTAAATTCTGAATCAATTTATACTTACTTCAAACTAACTCTGAATAATATATTCACGGGCGCCGCCAGAATATTTTACAAGGGGATGTAAAAACAATATTCCCTATTTTATTTTTTATAATATCATATGTTATAGCACTGAGCAAAATCCTAAAACAAGTATTTCTTTGGTATATAAAAGAAAAATAGTAATAAAGGTAAACAAAACACTTACAAAACAAAATAAATAAAAAGTATTTTTTAACATTAATAAAAGTAAAACTTCAATCTTTTTCTATCTTGTGCAAAAGTACCCAGCAGTTTTTTTATAAATTGATCAGGGTGACATTGAAATTAGTCATCCTGTAGATAATACTATAAATACCATAAATAATTGTTTTGTTTTCCTAATATTAATAAAGTTCCAATGGTACTGTATTTTGTCTTCATATTAGGTTGATACAAATACCTACAATTTTTTAATTAAAATTGTTAAATTATTACATTTCTGTTGGACAACTCGTGTTAGTAGACCACAAACAATTTTGTCAAAACGAATTTTCGGTTTATTTTTTCCGCTACACAAAATAATTATAGACAATGCGTGTCTTTTGTCATATTTTTCTGTTGCTCATGAATATAGGGTGATTTCAAAAGAAGTAGCACAAATGATACCGATAAATCTACACCTAAAAAAACACGTTTTGCATAAAAATAACCTTAGTAAAATGTTCACCCTTTAGGGGATACAGCCCCTCAAAAATTACTTATGGGATGCTTAATTCAACCCCCAGGAGTCGAGTTTTCGAAAAATTGTTGAGAAGTTGCACATGCATTAGTAGAAAATTTGTGTAAAATTTCCATATTTTTTTGGAAACTTTTTGATTTCCTAGGGGGTGAACAGTTTACTAAGCTCATTTTTATGTAAAAGTTGTTCTTTTAGCTGTAGATTCACCGGTACCATTTGTGCTACTTCTTTTCAAAACACCCTGTATATTAATTGAAATCTCCAACTGGTATAATAATTGTAGTGATTTTCTACAAACCCCAAATTTTTTTCACAAATCAGTTACAAATATGTTATAGAACAACATATTAAAATGCACAAATGCCACATAGTGACGAAAAAAAGGTTATTAACAGATCTTCGCAAAAAATGCTTCTTTATCTGCTTTTATTATCAACAACTTTTAAGAGCTGTTAAGTTGTTAATTTCTAATACAAAAAATCACTTATCCTATACATGGTTGATAAGAAAAAACAACAAAAAGAGAAAAATATGAAACAAAAATAAATGACAAGAATTACAAACAGTAAAAAAATAAAATATGCATTCATATTATCGAAAAATATCATCCAGTTTGTGGATTAAGATGGTCATCAATATCTCGGTTAAAAATGCAAGGAATCTTTTTTTTTAATGAAATTTTCTACAAGATAACATCACTCTATTTATTTTATGGGAAAATAATTTTGCAATTACCAAAAAATAAAATCTACGTTTTTCTTAAAATTGTTGTTAATTTTGTAAAAATTAATTAAATCTTATGGAACTTTCGAAAAATACTATTCAATTCATGTTTAATAAGCTACCGAAAAGTCCTATTGGACGGTTGAATCATTGCTGAGTTATTGATAATTATACGTCAATCTCATGAGTTTTTAGAAAATTTACAACAATTTTAAGAAAATCATCGACTTTTTCATTTTTTGTTAATTGCAATAAAAAAATTGCATAGATGCTGTTTTGTAGAAAATTTAATTTAGAACAAAAATGACCTATTGTAAAGTGCAATCCAACCGAGTTATTGAAGAAAAACAAATAACAAATCATTATATAGGTCAACATTTAGTTTGAAAAAAAACCTCCGGACTCTACCTAGATACCCAGGGGTTTTTGGGGCCACTGATTCCGATGGCGAAGTCTGTTAAGTTCTATCACGTCAGGTTCAAGGTCATTTGAAGGTCAAACTAAGAAAAGGTGGTTGAAAAAAATCTGAAAAAACCATACAGACTATCAGTAGACATTGAGTATTCGTAAAAATTTGTTTCACCTCCTATTCTTACTTTAACCTTCAAACGACCTTGAACACGAGGTGATAGAGGTTAATCGACTATGGACTCTGCGACCCAAAAAACCTATGTATGAATTTTTTCAACCACCTTTTGTTAGTTTGACCTTTCAATGACCTTGAACTGACGTGACCTCGTCGTCAGAATCAATGACCCCAAAAACCCTTAGGTACCTAAGTACAGTCCTGTATTTTTTTTCAAACTAAATGTTGACTTGTGTTATTAGCGACGTAAATTTTTAGTTAACATTTTTTCCTTACTATTTCACTCACGTGCATTTTAATGATTGTGTACTTGAGGATGTTCAAGAAGTAATAATGAGCAATTATTCTTGCAGATAACTGACGAAAAAGGACTGAATGTGGAACTGGCTACTCAACTACTACCATCTGAAGTTAAAGACGAAGTTTTAGCCAACACGAAAACCTGTCTGGCAAAAATTAAAGGTAATAAAAATAGGTATTCTACCAAAGTTTAATTTAAAAAAATCATTAAAAGTTACAACTTTTGTCTATTGTTTTATTTTAAATTGTAAAGTAACGTTTAAAATTTTAGGTATCACGAATAAAGAAGATAGAGTATTTAATTTCTTCAAATGTTTTTATGGCTTAAATCCCAATGTAAGTATTCCTTTATCGGCCTTATTAGAAGAATCTAGTTTTTCCTTTCTTTAGGTATTCATTTTCTTCTAAGAAGAAACCTCATCAAAACCAAACGGAAAGTATTCTCCCGAATTTCAAATAAGATGCCTAGTTAATTATTTGTCCTGTTACTTTATTATTATACAAAATATATACAAATCATTTGTACTTCATTGCTAGTTCCGTTTACTAAAAAAAGTTTCCATAAAACATGGCAATAAAATAAACAACGCCTACGCACTCGCTATCCAGTTTAAACCATTTATTCAAGTAGTGAATAACGGCTATATTAATATGCTGTTTTTTTATGAAAACGTATCTATGCAAATATTCCGGTTTGTAAACGACATGGGATGCGTACGTGATGCGTGTGACCAAGTTTTGAGAGAGACAATCAAAACGATAAAACTAATATTAATTAGCCGCCAAATACAAAGCAGGATTGAAAAAATTTTGTGCAATAGGTACGCATTTCCTTGAGAAATTTTGTTAATTATAATAAGAGTTTAAGACACCTGAAGCTAGAGCACTTGAAGTCTTGGTAATATATCATACGGAAAATAATAAAAACCCAGTCATCTGTTGTCTAAATTTTTGAGGAAAAGTTTTGAAATAAAACTACACTCACCGATAAAAAAACGGCCACCCTAAAATATTTCATAAAAGCATCTAAATATTAATTCATGTAACTTACAGTTGATATGTGGTTGCAGAACCATAGATTCAAGTTGCAACGAATAACTAAGAAAAAAAATTATTTAAGACAAAATTAAATTTAATTAAAACAGTAACAGAAACGGAACAAAAATACACTTTTTTCTGATGTCTAAAAAATTATGGTGGGTGTTTTAATAGACCTCCTGAATTGCAACATTCAACAGTCGCCGTCGTGACATTGAGTTAACCAAATTTCTTAAGCGTATTTGGGGAATTGCTTCATATTCTTCGAGAAGGGCCAGTCTCAGCTCTTGAAGAGTCTGTAGCATGACTGGTCGACGGCGAATAGCCCTCTGAAGTTCATCCCAAAGATGTTCAATTGGATTAAGGGCTGGGCTGCATGCGGGACAATCAAGTCTACCAATACCGACCTCGTTTAAGCATTCAGTTACGATTCGTGTAGTGATCTGGCGGTGTCGTACATTAAAACGAAGCCATCTCCAATAAAATACGAAAATGGAACGACAGCTTCTTGACGAATATCTTCCACGTATCTGCGGGCGTTCAAAGCTCCATTATCCACAAATATGAGGTCGGTACGTGCTTCCGTAGAAATGCCCGCCCACACCACAACAGAACCTCCTTTAAAAGATACTCGTTCAGAGATGATGAAGTCTGAATATCGTTCATTTTGTCTTCTCCACACTCTTTCCCGACCATCAGTAAAAATAACTTCACTCCATTGCCGAGAAATTCAATTTACATGTAATCGCGCAAATTGAAGACGTACCCTTCGATGCCTAAGTAGCAATTGTGGTCCTGTTGCCGGCCTCCGTGAAGATAAACCATTTTCTACAAGCCTCCTCCTAATCGTCCTCTCACTTACTTGAATTGAACCCCTCGCACTGTTAGAAGGCGATGCCGAAGTTGAACTGCTGTTGACCTGCGATCCCTCGGTGTGTTGAGCACAACGAAAAGATCATCAAGCGCTTTATACTCTTTTTCTTTTAGATTCTGGTCGTCTAGTGACTCTGCCAGTCTCCAGATACCGTTTCCACGCATCCTGAATGGTAGTATGAGATATTCCCGTTACCAACAGTTAACGGCATTGTTATCGGGTGAAAACTTTCGTTGACTGTCAAACTTAATTCCAAAAATAATGTACATAAGCCTACTTGCCTTTTAAAGAATAGTCTGCTGCTGTGTGATTTACTCGAGCATATTAATATCGTTGAAAAGATAATTTCGGGTTGTAAAATTAAAATTAGGCTTACGTAGATGTGAAACAAAGCATTGATAATGAAAAAGAACTAGCTTAGGTTACTAACTAGCTTATGAACTAAGCAGATAAGGGCACTTTTGTGAAATATTTTAGGGTAGCCGGTTTTTTATGCCGGTGAGTGTAGTCCGGTCCTGCTATTGCGAACGCTTTTCCTATATAAAAGAGGAAACCCCAAAACGAACGCATATCTGAACACTTACCAAAATGAGTAACTTAATATTTTTTGTGACTGTAACTTCTCTCTTCGCGGTGTTCATGGTTCAAGCCGCCTTGCCTCCCTCGGTAAGTCAAATTAAATTAGCGTAGTTTCGAAAATTGAATTTTGTTTCGAATCCTAGGAATTCGGACCTCAAATTCAAGCGTTGCAGGGAAATTTGCATTCGCTTTGTATTTCTCAATCAGGTACAGACGAAGCTTCCATCGCCAACGTAATAAATGGGGTATTTATTGATGAACCCAAAATTAAGGTGAGTTCCAGAATTTTGTAACCATTTTTGGAATACGAATACATAATTTAAGAATTTTTTTAAGCTTTTCTAACACATTTTTCAGGAGGTAGTTAGTTTTATTTTTTCTTAAAGCTTAAACTTTAACGTATTAATATGCATTTAATGGTAATGTAAATGCTATTAATAAAGGCTATTGATCATAGGATTTGAAAATAAACTATAACGTTCAAGATATTTTATTATTATATGAATCGTTCAAATGGTCATTTTAGATGAAAAAAACGCGGAGTGCTATTAAATTATAGGTGGAAATTGGAGATAGGAGTGAAAATGCACCCCTTTCAGTTTTTTAATTGTAGTGCGAAAACGAAGCAAAATTACGCTGTAGTTCGTAGGAAAAATTATTTAGAGAATTGAATTTCCCATCGAAAAGGCTTATTTAAAAAATTTAAGAGGAAAATTATATGCAAAAAATCGTTAATAAACAATTTGAAAGAAAGCAAAAAATTCGATTTTTTTATTTGTTTTACTTTTCTGGCTCCAATTTATGTTAACGACGAAAATCTAAAAAATATTTAAGTTTGACCGGTTATAACACAGTCAATATTAGTCCAAAAACTTTTGAAAACGCATTATTTTGAAGGGAATCTTATCTAGTTTTTTTGTACAGCAATTTTCTTTGCCTACTTCTACTAAAAAAAAATAGTCAAAAAAGTAAAAAAAATTAAAAAATCTTATTTTTTATTTTGATGGGAAATTCAATTCTCTACAAAATTTTTCCTATGAACTATACCGAAATTTTGCTTCGTTTTCGTGCTATATTTAAAAACTGCAAAAGTGCATTTTCACCCCTATCTTCAATTTCAACCCTCTAATTTAATAGCACCCCGTGTTTTTTTCATTTTTCATGACCCTTCGAACAAGTTATGTGATGTAGCTTAGTTTAAGATTGTTTCTTTATTTTTTGGGTATTTCGCCACATGTGAAAAAATTTAAAAAAATAAGTTAAATCGACCTTTGCGACAAATAGATCAGTCAAGAGTTATTTCTATGAAAATAGTTTTACCTAATCAAAAAATGTCACTGAAAAAAGCAGACAAATAAAAACGATTCGAAAATTCACCGTTTTCGTCTTCTGACCTTTTTTTGACCTATCATATTAATAACTTGGCAGTCTTTCTATTTGTCTGCTTTTCTCAGTGTTTAGGTAAAACTATTTTGTTGCTATATCTTAAAAACTATCAATTTTAGATATAGAACATGCTTAATAAAAGTTGAAGTGTACCGATATATGAAATAAAACAGATCAATACAGGGAGTTCCATTTGAAAAATTTTAGAAAATCTAGTTTAAACTTTCTAAAAATTATTGTATTATAACAAATGCCCTGTATAAAATATCGATATTAACTAATATGGAAGCCAGGCCCGGATCCAGAGGGGGTGGCGATGTGGCGATCGCCACCCCCAAAGCACAACATTTTTTAAAGATCTTCAATTTCTCCAAACGACAACAGGCAGTTAGTCGATATTAATGCAAGTCCCCCTTCCTAACCTACACCTTACGTCATCAAAAAAATAACAACAACAACAACAATAATAATAATAATAATAGTAATAATAATAATAATAATAATAAAGAAGTACTTTGCGCCACCCCCAAAACCAGTCTCTGGATCCGGGCCTGATGGAAGCCTTTGCCTAACATTTGCCTATAACCATGTCTAACTATTGTGTTCCAAGTTTTAGTAGTTGAAGGTTAATACAACTTCATCGAGGTCATGTTTTTTCCAAAATTCAAAGAATTTTCTTCATAACTTGGTAACCCCGCACTAAAATGATAAACTGTTTATATTGCCACATATAGAATTTTCTCGGAAATCCATATGTTTAAAAATATACAGAGTGTTCCATTTAAAAAAATGTAATATTTGGCGTGTCCCGTTTTTACTCATCGCCCTGTATGTTTTCAACTAATTTTGTAGTTTAGCTTTCTTGATTGTACAACTTTTATAGAAACTTTTTTTCTGTATTATGAGTAACAAGGGTGTTATTTTACTTTCTCACACTAATGGCCCACCCTGTATATTTTTTATTTCCTCAATTAAATTTTAGTTTTATTTTTTTTCTAACTTTTTTTTATATTAATCAATTTTGTTGACACTATTATCTTTTTTCAATGATTAATTATGCTAGTTTACAATTTTGTTGTTTTTTATAAAATTATATTTTAGATTATATTATATTAAGATTTTGAACATCTATTTCTGCTAATGATGTATTATCATTACAACTTTATAACCTTTAAACGTCGTATTTTCGTTTCAGTTTTATATGAAATGTCTCTTTACGGAAGCTAAAGTGGTGAGTGACATTTTACGTTTAATTTAAGTAAATTTAAGTTACCTATTCATAGAAATCTTGGTCGTTTTTTCATACTTTGGAAAAATATTTAAAAAAATCACTTTTTGTTTGTTTCACAATCTTAAATTTAGGTATCACTGATACACAATTTTCACTTTGCATTTTGATCTTCATTTTAATCAGTGCGATAATAGTTTTAAGAAAAATTACTTACTTTTTTATTTTCGCAGGAAAACTAGTAATAGTAATTACTAAAAAAATTTTATTAAATGTTTGGCTGTTACAGATCAATGAGCATGGCGACTTCAATGGAGAACGCATAACTCAGCTACTGCCAGACAAAATTAAGAAAGAAAGTTTAGTAGTTATAAATGGATGCATTGCTAAAATAAATGGTATGGGAGATTAACTATAATAATGATGATATTTATACAAAGTTCCGTTAATCGACAACGCCAGTCTATCTGTTCTTTTTGTATAAAGCGTGGTACACTGAGAAGCTCTAATTTCCTTTTGGAACGGTCAATGATTCGAATGATTTCTGTTTATATGTGACTTCAGACACATATCTCAGATATCTTCTAAATCTACTTGCTACTGCTACACCAATTAAGAGAATCCAGTTGGCAATTTATGGTCTATAACGTTTTTTGGAAGCTAACTTTTTAAAAGCATTTTTGGAAATATCACTAGGATTTTTTTATTCAACATCTATACGTCTTAATTGGCATGATTTCAATCTTATATATCTGAAATTTTGTCAATAGGAAATGAAGGATATTTTTTTTTTGTTTCGATTTAACAATCTGGAAGACAATGGAAATTCCTAAAGTTGAAAAATTTGTGACTTACTGGCACTGTTGATTGTAGTAGGCAAATAGTATAGTCCTGATTATGAATATAGAATTGCAACTGGTTTGTTCCAAAAAAAAATGGAAAAGTATTCTGATTTTTAACACACATTGCTTGAGCTTTTTTTAGTTTATCAATTTGTGTACCGACATTTTGAATTTTTCGTCATAGTTAAAAATTCCACATTAAATTAATTAAAATGTTGTGTTTTAGATATTGCAAACCTAGAGGACAAAACATTTTCTTTCTTTAAATGTTACCACAACGAAAATCCTAACGTAAGTGATTTTTTATTGATATTAATGTATTAAAATTTAATAAGACCTTTTTCAGCTATTCATTTTTTTCTAAGCATGAAAACATGATGATGTCGAAACAAAATATGGCATAAACTGTTGAGTTTAAAAATTTTAAAAGTACACTACCTAATATATGCAAATAAAAATTATATAAATATAAAATAAAAATATAAATATATTTACGTATTGTGTTTCTTTGATTTCCCTATACTTATGTATTATTTATATACATTAATATAAAAATGCTGCATAAAATTCCAGTTGTATCAAACTGTACAAAGGTAAGTATGTTTAGATTATATGTATGCGACCGAATTAAAGCTCTTGTACATACCTATTAAAGATAAAATCAAACTGTATCTTGCAATATCTCTATTGTCATTTCTGAACATTATATTTAAGTTTCTCATATAATTTAAATTTGAAATGAATTCTAGCATAAACAAAAAAGGATGTAAGATTAAAGAGAATCAGTCCGTAAATGAAAAAGTGGTGATTGGATTAATCAACTGTTGCTTTTTGTTTGTTTAATTTCTCTCGAATTAGCATATAGAAATCATTAGATTTATTAAATAAATATTAAAAAACTTACGGAATCCTACTTGAGGATGTTCAAATGGTTATAGTGCGGAAATCCCTTGTTTTTATGAAATAAAAACAATATACTTGCAAAAATATTCTTGTCTCGAAACCGCATTGAACGGCATATGTAAATGAATGAACATAGAAAATATAATACTTCTATGATGAATAAATAATAACTAGCCTCCAGATACGAAACAGAATTTTTCACTGCATGCAGATTCCATTATAAATTTCATTTTCTTTAGTAGTTTTTTCCATTATAACAAAAATTACGACACTAGAGTTACAGCCTTAAGGTCCACTGATTATAAACAACAAAACAGAATAAAGCAACTCGTGAACGAAATTTTGAAGAATTTGATTAAAATTAGTCCGCCTCTGCAACCGCAATTGCCTTTTTCCAAGGACATTTAAATTAAATGCCCTTGCCTTTCTTTATATAAAAGAGTAACAGCAGCATATCTAGGCATTTGTTAAAATGGTTAGCTTAAATTTTTTTGTGACTGTGTCTTCTCTCTTCGCGGCGTCTGTAGTTCAAGCCGCTTTACCTCAATCAGTAAGTCAAAAATTAACATTGTTTCGAAAATTTGTTCATATTTAATTTTACTTTAAATTTCAGGAATACGGTCCGCAGCTTGAAGCATTACAAAAAAATGTTCGAGCGGCCTGTATATCCACATCTGGTGTAGACGAAACTGCCATCAGCAATGTAGGAAATGGGGTATTTACTGATGAACCCAAAATAAAGGTGAGAGATGTTTTATTAAAAATCCAGCAAATAAAGTGGTATCAGAAGTAGGTAATTGTGCAATTTTGTTCTTTATTGCAAATTTCGTTCTAATATAACTAAAATTTCACGGAATTTTCATTTCAGCATTACTTGACATGTGTCCTAAAGGAAGGTAAACTGGTGAGTGCTAAGTGACTTTATATTAATATAATTTAAGTAAGTTTAAATAATACAACCAGGTAAACACATTTTTGTTTTATTATTACTGGTATTTTTTAAATTAGCGAATTTAAATTCAACCGAAATTTATAAAGTAATAGTCAGAATATTATTCTGAGAAGAATAGAAATTAGTACGATCATAGACAGATGGTTGCTATAACAATTATTTGTGCACGACCCCAATCTACTTCTTTTTTCACATAGGTATGTGTGTGTTTTCTGTTGTTCGTAAATTCGCTATGATTATATTTAATTATTATTGCTACATTATCTGCATCAGTGAAGTAGTTTTCAATATTATTTTAAACAAAATGGTAATTGCATATCTATTTTGCATGTAAAGGTTCAATGAAACAATTTTATTAAGAAATTTACAGAATTTAATTTAAACAGAACAGTGAAAAAACTACTGCTTTACTTCCCATTATAATTTTCCATTTCAGAGATGACGCACCCCGAGCGGATGTTAATTTTTTAAACTTGCAATTTTTGAAAGCATTGACCGTCTTATTCTTATGATGGTAACTGTTTATACTTAGATTAGGAACCTAATCTAAGGCTTTATGTAAATATACTCTCGTTGACACACGTCACAATTATTGTTATCTCTATAAAAGCGTTTGTCTTTACCGATTTGTACTATACTACAATTACAGTAGAGGGCGCTTTCAACCACAACAGCCTTCAATTATTTTGAAGTAGACGTGAAAGTAAACAAACTTCATATTCATGGTTTAATCTTCTCAGTTTAAAATTAAAAGACAAAGATATATTAAACTATTATATATTTTGCACATACTTTTGTGTATTAAACTATCCATGTTTATCACAATCTCACGATAGTTAAAATTAACAAAATACTGACTGTTTTGCTGTTACAGGTCAATGAAAAGGGCGTCTTCAGCGAGAAAAACATAGCTCAACTTTTCCCAGACAAATATAAGGAAGAAAGTTTGACAAATATAAAGAGTTGTATTGTTAAAGTAAATGGTATGTAGTATTAATTATATGTAATTTGTAATTAATTATATTTATCTAGAATTTGTTAGTCAGTGGAATCAATTATTCTCAAATCCGTTTAGCGATTCGTTTGTTTCGTTGATTTTAAAAATTATGTCTGAATGTAAGTAACAGCTTTTATTTCTCACTGAAATGTTTGACTTGAAAAAATTAAAAAGTCTTAATCGAGCTAGTCCCACCATTTGCTGAACAAAGCATGCATGTCCCTATTAAATCTTAGTTCTCAAAAATTTGTTATTTTTATTAGTAGGAGCATTATTTTAATATTTTTGTATATTTATAATAATATCTAATTATATTTTTTTCTGTTTTAGATATTACAAACTTAGAGGATAAGATATTTGCCTTATTTAAATGTTACTATCACCAAAATCCTGATGTAAGTGTTTCTGATTTTAAAGTAATAAAATTTAATAAGTTTTTTTTCAGTTATTTGTTTTCTTTTAAACTTGACAATGGTATCTAAACAGAAAACGTGGTAGGTATACTATTTCAAGCTTTAGATTTTATAAATGTAATATATTAAATTTATAATGTATACTTTTAATAATGTACGTATTAAAATATAAATATATTTAGGTGCCTATCACTAATTTTAACCTACCATGCCAATCATACCATATTTTACACAGACACAGAAACTTTTAATATAATCAGGTGGCTATGGACACAAAACGTCGAACACGTTTTCACCAGGAGTTAAGAGGGCGACTTGCCAAATAGGCAACCAGCAATACATTTTTATAGATTTTATTACACATCAGTTTGTCTAAATATGAATGAGTGCCCAAATAACACTTTCCTCCATTCGAACTCAGATTTTCTATAAAATTGAGTTAGTTTGAAACTCAAATTACTTAACTTTACTGGTGTAAAGAAGTTTATAATTTACGATGTCGCTTGTTCAAAAGCAGCCAGTAATTTTATTTCGCCAGTTTTATAGAGCAGCGTACAATCAAAATTTTTTATGCATTTGTTTGTAGTCTATTTTTCTTTGTCCATTTTACTTACCTACACCTGATTTTACTCTTAACCTAACCCAGATGCCCTACCCCTACACGGAACACGGGAACGTACTCTTGCGGTTGTTTGTTGTGCTACGTGACAGGTTGTACAAATTTTGAAGGAATGTCAATAACATTACGTGTCTATTATGATAAGATCTCTAAATTGGTGAATCTGAGCTGGTTAATGAATCATTAACTCTTCGAAAAATGTTGAAAGCTGTTATTTTAATAGGCGGTCCCCAAAAAGGTAACGCAGACATAACCTATATAAACATTTTTTATGTACTGCCCTTTTAGGAACCCGGTTTCGACCACTATCGCTCGATATACCAAAACCCCTGTTTCCCGTTGCCGGTCTACCATTAATACAACATCACGTGGAGGCATGTGCGGCTTTAGAAAATTTGAAGGAGATCCTGCTGATAGGATTCTACCCGGTAGCTCAAATACAACAGTTTGTGAACGACATGCAAAAACAGTACAATGTAACCATCAAGTAAGCTATACACTACTTTATTTTGTAAGTTATGTATATAAAATGATTCCAGATACCTACAGGAATTTATAGCTTTAGGTACTGCAGGTGGTTTGTACCACTTCCGTGACCAAATCCGATATGGAAACCCCGACGCGTTTTTCGTTATGAACGGAGATATCTGTGCTGATTTTCCCTTGGGGGAGCTGTACCGATTTCATAAGGAACAACCAGAAAAATTCCAGAAAAAGGCGTTTGTAAGTAGCTACGAATTTCCAAGTGTTAGAAAAGAGAAATTTGTTTATTTAAGGTGACAATAATGGGGACAGAAGCAACAAGGCAGCAGTCATTAAATTATGGTTGTATGGTAACAAATAAAGAAACTGATGAGGTTACTCATTATGTGGAAAAACCGAGTTCGTATGTTTCTACGTTGATCAACTGTGGAGTTTATGTTTTTTCATTAGACATCTTTCACATCATTGCGGAAGCCTTTAATGCTAAACAAGAAGAATACTACAGGTAAGGAACATGTCATAGAAAAAAAATTGACCAAGCATAAAAATTTTTCAAAGCGTCTTTTAAATCAATAAAACAAATAGATTTTCGGAAAATTGTACAAGGCCGTGATTTAACATTCGACATTCATAACGTTTCAAAGCATGATTTTAATATTTTAGAAATGGTAACGGCAACCGTGAGACGGGCTACATCCAGCTTGAACAAGAAATTCTCTCCCCCTTAGCCGGGACGGGGAAAATGTTTGCATTACAGACCAACAACTGGTGGTCCCAACTGAAAACAGCTGGTTCCGCAATATACGCCAACAGACATTACTTAGAATTGTATAAATTGAAGCACCCCGAGAGATTGTTTACTCCTAGCGGTGAAGGGAGCTGTAAAATCATTCCCGACGTGCACATCGACCCGACGGCGTCCATTCATCCCACTGCTGTGGTAAAGATTAATAATTCACAATCGAAAAGAGACGTTGTTAATTAAGGACTTTGTTTTTAGCTGGGACCAAATGTCAGCATCGGACCCGGAGTCACAGTCGGGCCCGGCGTAAGGATAAGAGAAAGTATAATCCTGGCGAACGCCACCATCGAGCCGCGCAGTTTGGTTATCCACAGCATAATCGGCAGGGGGTCCAGGGTAGGTCAGTGGGCAAGAGTCGAGGGAACCCCGTCGGATCCCGATCCCAATAAGCCCTTTGCCAAGATGGACAATCTACCCCTCTTTAATAGCGACGGGCGATTGAATCCCTCCATTACAATTTTAGGTGAGAAATTTTACGAATGTTCTAATTTTGAATTTTTTTAAAGATGGTATTAAAGCGGTTTTGGTTTTTAGGTTGCTCGGTGAGTGTACCTTCCGAAACCATCCTGTTAAATTCTATCGTTCTTCCAAACAAAGAACTATCTAGGAGTATAAAAAATGAAATTATTCTGTAAATTTAAGATGTGCAATTTTTTATTATCTGTTACATTTTTCCTATTTTATAGATATTTTTATACATCACAGAAATGTACTATAGTATATTCAGGATGGACTCACAATTTTAATTGTTTATTTTTTATAAGTATTTGTAAATGTCATATTTTATTATTTTTTATATTAATCGGTATATATTTCAACTAATAGCTTTAAAATACAGTCAATTACCTTTATTATTTTTATCGTAATAATGGCTTTTCAAGTTAATTCAATATTAAGGAAAATCTGTGAAAAATATTATTATTTTAATATAAACATACAACAAACTTTATCGTGCAACCTCGATTGTCATAATTAATTGTTGTTGTTCAAATACCAAATATTTCAGATACATTATTAAAGGGTTACACCACTGTAACGGATAGAAGATAACGGATAGTTTTAATAGAAGGGAAGATGATAGAAAAAAAACTGTTTAAGTATGTTATTAGGCATGTATTAAGTGTACAAAGGTACAGTTGTTTATTTATAACAATTGTTTAAATTAACTTATAGAAATGTAGTTTTAAATATGTGGTTAAAATTTCAAAATATTAAAAATTGTTGGAGTTGTGGTGCGTGCCGTTTTGAGAAAGCGTGTTTTGAGAAAAACGCGTTTAAAATTTTAAAGTGAGTTTTAGACATGAACGTGCACTGACGCTACACTAACGTACTTTTGTTTCAAAATTTTGCTTGAATTGTACACGCATACTCCCTAACGACATCTATGAGTGTATTAGAGAAGTTATAAATCAATAGGTAAGAAGGTACGTGGTACCTTCCGAGCGAGTATGTTCATAGCGCAGGTAGCCGTATGAGAGACGTCCGACACGCTTCAGGAAAAGCGCAAAATAAAAAAATTTCATTTATAAAACCTTTTACCTCATTTTCTAGAAAGTTTAAACTACCTTTTAAGCAAAAAAAAAAACGATTTTCTGAAAATTCTACAGTGGTGTAACCCCTTAAAATAAATATGTATAAAAGTACAAACAAAATATGTTTTTTACTGTCATTCGAACAAATTGTAATTTTATGACAAATTTTTAAAAATCTGTTTTTCTCTAATCATTTTTGCTCTTAAAAATACATAGTGTACATAACAGGCAATGATACAGGCCAGTACATGTAAAGAAATTTCAGTATGTTTCGTTCAAGCTATGATGCCTATCGAATTAATAAATGTTTTAAACAGTTTTCTGATTTCCATTAAGATGGAATAGTAATAAAATGTGTTTGTAAAATGGTTTTGTTGGGCTGGAGTGCCTATCAGTGTAAGAAACATAATATATAAAAAAATTTACTGTTACAGATGCCATACTGGGTATTTTTATTTACCTATTTTTTTTTGTATTCAGTGTGTGTGGTACTGTTTGTATGCATGTGATTGATAATAAGCAGTTTTGATTATTTTGGTAGAAATATGTACCTAAATGACTATTACCCTAACAAAACTGCCAATTGTATCGTCACATGGGTTACATAAAAGAAGGAACAGTATTATATGGTTGGATTAATGTGGTAAAGAATTGAATAGACATTGAAAATTAAATGCTTAAAAAAATAATTGGTTTTTACAGCTGTCTAATGGGGTCCTTTTATTATGTGACCTAGTTTTAACGTAATAATGAACAATTTCGATTATTTTGGTGGAATATATACCAGTGGCGGCCCTTGAAAATTAACAAAACAAAAATGGGGGTTGTTTCCCCGAATATTTCAGAACAAGTGTCCCGAAATTAATTCAAAAAAATTTGGTCATAGATTCGTAAGACAAATTTAAGGGATCCATATTTTTTCTTTTTGCCAAGTGGCCCTCTCTTTTGGAGTTACAGCCCCCTGAAATCTGTCCCTAAAAATAGTCTCTTAAATCTCAGAACCCTGTTGTATGAGAATCACTAAATTTGGTACACAGGGATTTTATGACATGTGGAATCTGACCGTGCTACGCTTTTTGGCAAGGAACCCCCTTAAGACACTTTTTCGTGGGCCCCCTTGTCTTTGGAACTAACAAATTTTGGGTCGCAAATTTGAATTTCGTATAAATTACTAATTGGCTGGAAAGCCATTGAATTTGGAAACTTTTTGTCTCGACATTTTTTTCGTAAAACGCAAAGTTTTTGAGGAAAATGGTGAATCACGATATGCATTATAACATTCATATTATAGCATTCGATAACATTTTGACAGCACCATCAGATTCCACATGTCATAAAACCCCTGTGTACCAATTTTAGTGATTTTCGTACAACAGAGGGTTCTGAGATAAAAAAAGATTATTCTTAGGGGCGAATTTCAGGGGGCTGTAACTCCGAAAGAGGGGACTACTTGGCAAAAATAAAAAATACAGGTTCCCTAAATTAGCCTTAGTTGCATTAATTTCGGGACACCCTGTATATGTGCAGAATATTTTTTCGTATCAACGGATGAATAAAATTAGATATTTTGTTTATTTTTTATGAAATTAAATTTTCTTTGTACCTATTAAGATTTCAGTTTGATAATGACTTTATTTTTGGAATTTGATCATGAAAAATTAAAATTTTGTGAAAAATAAGAAAAGACTTGGTGACTAATCGGTTGATTATAAAAAAAATATATATATTTTACACATATATGTACAAATCTTTTCGAGATCTGAGGAAAAACTACCCTTATTTTGATTTTTAATTTTGCAAATTTTGTTTGAAACTTTTCCATCATGAAAGTAGTCTATATGGTCTTAGAAATCATCCCCTAAAAACAATATACCACTTATATATACCTAAGTGGCTATTATTATAAGCTTATATAATCATGTAATGAAAATATTACAAATCTCTTACAGGTTGTTAATTTAGAATCAATTACGATTTGGCATGCAAAATACATATTTTAAATGGGTGTTTGCTACCACGCTAATTTTTAACGTCATTTAGTGCGATTGAAACTCGAGAAGATAATTGACAAGGTCAAGACGGGCAGACAGCATGAGCGTATTAAGTAACAAAGTAACAAGAGTATAGAGACAGCCAAATTCACTTTGTGTCAAGGCTCCCTGCAATCGCATTTCTATAGATAAGGTTTCGTTTTGTAATTATGGAAGACTGCCAGAAATAAGTTGTGTTCTTAGTCACACTAAGTGACATCACAGTGCGTTCTTGATGACGTGACAAAATTTAAATTTTTACATACACTCAATTAAGTTGTAGCAGTAAAGCAATACTTTTTTTTACCACAGTTAGTTGTTTTCGGTTATAAACTACAAATTTATGGGGTTCTAAAAAAATGGCCTATCGTATCATTACATAGTTACATAATAGAAGAAACTAAGGGTAATAATGGTCATAAAGCCAATATGGTCGATTAAACCTATTTTGGTAGTGAAGATTAGGATATTTATTGCAAATTTTTTAATAGAATAACACTTGGATTGAATGTGCAATAGTGAAGTGCGACATTCATTAATAACTACAATTTTTTCTTCAAATTATCAATTATTCAAATATACAAATATAGTATGGTCGGATGATCGAGGTTTTACTGTATTATAAAGATCTTATGTCCTGATCGATTATATGCCTCAAATGGTCCCATGAAGTTAATATACCACTGTCTTACTTCTTCCTATTTTTAATACGAGTAAAACAATTTTTCTTTAAGAACTGATGTATGAATTCACATTCTAATGTCCCTGTATGTGAATATTTCTTTATTTTCATTATAGAAATATATTGTTTTCAACAAATTGTTGTTATTTTTGTTCTATTTATTATTTTTTTTCAGAAATATATTTTATCCAAGGAAAGTTCTGTTTAAAACCCAACTTAATATTCATATTATGTCTTTTATTCTCATAAAATTTACATTTAAACTTGAAACCATAACGTGAAGTTTAGTAAATTGTCTTGATATATAAATTTCTTTTACATTTTTTTGATATAGCACGTTCTGGAACATCACGCATATATTTGTTTCTGTTAATGTTACTTAATGAAAGTAAGGGCATTTATGCGAAGATAGAAGTACTTTGTTGTGACGAAAGAATTCTTGTTTGGCGAGATCCTTCATTATCTCTCCATAATCGGTGCCGTCTTGCGTGTCCAGTTTCTGCAGAACTGTCACTAACAAATGTACGCTGCCCACTATTGCAAACGTCAGCAGGATAGACTCCAAGGTGCTCAGAGCCATAGATATTCTCAAAGAGTCTTAATCCTGTTTCCGTTACTAAATGGTTCCATTTTATTTCCTTAAATCCATCTTACTGTGCAATTTAAATTTCACTAATGATTTTGAAGGTTCATTTCTGACACGCAAGTGACATTTATAAGACAGTGTTTCAATATTTAAATTTTATTTACCACTTTTGCAACGTATAAAAGAATATTGCATGATTCTCCTACTTCTACCGACATTTTTACTTTACGTACAACTTATAAATGCGTAAAATATACATAATTATTTACAGTACTTTAATATACAAGTATTATAGCTCTAGTTGAACACGAATATACACCAAATCAGTGTTTTCATGAGTAAATTATGGCAAATCCCCAATATACTTAAGGTATGCAGTATAAAAATAGCAATATAATATTTGATACAAATTTTTAACCATTTATCTACCTTCATCTACTATTTGCACTTTTTGATGGTGTCGTAGATATCGGTCCTCCTCTGTTTAAAAATAGGAATTTGCTCTCTAATATTATGACATTTTTCAAGTTGTATGTCATCGTAAATAATTTCTTCTTCATGTCCCGCTTGCGTTGTAACTTTTCCCCACGGATCAGTCACCTGTGAGTGGCCCCAAGCGATGTAACCCTGTTCGTTCCTAGCAGGACTGATAGCAAATACATATACTTGGTTATCGAGCGCACGGGCCCTCTGAAGAATCTCCCAGTGAATGGGGCCCGTGGTCATATTGAAGGCTCCAGGATATATTAACAATTCACAACCCTGTAGCCTGTACAGTTTTGCTAGTTCTTCGAATCTCAAGTCGTAGCAAATACCTAGACCGACTTTGATACCTTCAAAATCGAAGGTAACCAATTCGTTTCCTGCGTGCAGAACATCGGACTCTTTAAAAGTTATCCCGCCAGGTATATCGATGTCAAATAAATGCATCTTTCGGTATTTAGCGAGTAGCTTACCTTCAGGGTTCCACACAGTGCAAGTATTGTAAAATTTATTATTTTCTACTTCCGGGAAAGTTCCTCCAACCAAATATATAGAATGATCTCTTGCCGCTTTCGATAGCATTTCACATGTTGGGCCGTTTGGTACAGGTTCTGCATATTCATTGAAAAATTTAGTGCCATACGGCGAATTAAAACACTCCGGAAGCGCTACAAGTTGTGCACCCCCTTTTTTAGCTTCTGCTATCAATCTAGCGGCATTTTCTAGGTTTTTTGTGCGATCTTTACCCACCCTAGACTGTATAAGAGCAGCTCGGAAGAGTTTCATCATGATTTGCTCTTATTCAACACTAAATGTAATATCTATTATATGTTTTGTGTGTAATACCGCAAGGTATATTTGTTCAGAAAATAGAGATAAAAGTATATAGACTATTGACTTGACTTATTGACTATGAATTTAAATTTTAAGGTTTTAGGTTAGTTAAAAGTCAAATAATAAATCTTATTTTTAGGCAACCAAACATACAGTAACTGTAAAGAGGGTGTCGAAACATAAGTTATGTGTAGTAACTAAAACAAAGGTACATACATAAATGTATTATAGTACAAGTTTTAATTTTTTACGTATTAAATTGCGGTACTAGTATGTACTAGCCTTGTTTATATCTTACTAGTATTTAATCATGAAAGTACTTTAATCTATTTTATACGTTTATAATCTTGCCATTGTATGGAAAATGTACCTGCCGCCCTAGATATATTTTTAAATATGTGTTTTCCGTTTATTCGAAAGATTATTATTTTTGAAGTGTTTCTAAAGAAAAATTAATGGGAATTTCCTGTCCTGATAAGTTTAGTGTGAGGTATGAGATACAAATGATAAAATCAGACGTCAGAATAAGAGAGTTTCATCACTTTTGTCAACATAACCGAGGAAAAACAGATTTTTAGGAAAAAATAAGTACACTAAATAAATATGGATACAAAATTAATTTAAACTTAAGTTCTCTGACCTTTTTTTGTTCTGATTATTGGAACTAAATCTGGAGTAATATTTGTTTTATTACAAAAATCATCAAAGTTCTGTTTATTGATTGGTTAATATGAGTCATGCGACACAGACGCATTTTGATCAACGCAAATCGATTGAGATGTGTCCTTAGAATAGAGAAAATTAGACACTTTTGTCAAAAACCTGAAATAGAATGTCACATTAGATTCAATAAAACTTGATCTACAATAAGTAGATTTTTTAAATGTAAGCTTTAAACGATTAAGTATCTGAAATTTTTACTATAATTTGTACTCTGGTCAATTCCAGAAAGAAAGAATTTAATGCAGCGAAGTTTGAGAAGTAGGTACCTAGTTGAGACAGAAACTTCCAGTCCTCGGATTTTTATTTTTTACGGATTTATCACAAAAAATTCCGTTCGACAGCCAAAAACCTCCCCTCCCTCGCGCGCAACAGGTTCCGAATGTGATTGTGCGCTTCGCCCGAAAGCGCGATGAGAGTGCACTGCACAGCCTGCCTTGCCGTTTTTTCTTCCAGCTGCCGGCGCATTTGACATTTCGCGGTCTGCCAGGGTTCACCGATTTTAACGCTTTCATGAACGCCGGAGGAAGAGTTAATTGCCGGTAATTAATAAGTGAAATTGATAAGTGGATCTCGCCAGGTTAGCAATTTGAACGGTGTGGATATACGATGCCGGGAGAAACCGCAATCGAAAATGGTACGCAAGAAGCCGTGGCCGAGGTGAAGCAGGAGGTGGCGGCCGTGGTAAAGCAAGAAGTCGCGGCAGAAGTAAAGCAAGAGGTGCCGGAAATAAAGCAAGAAGCGCCGGATATAAAGCAAGAAGTGCCAGAAGTCGAGGAAGATGCACCGAAAGTGAAACAAGAAGTTGTGGCCGAGGTTGTTGCTGAAGTTAAACAAGAGGTTGTGCCTGAAGTTAAAGAAGAGATAAAACAAGAAGTTGTGCCGGAAATCAAAAAAGAAGTGCCAGAAGTAAAAGTAGGACCCGCTGTCCAGAACGGTATTCCCAAAAAGGTAGGAGGTTTTTTTCCCCTTGTATAAATATTATTTTATGTCTACATGAATCACAGGTTAGAATCTAATTAAAATTTTATTCTGATTTTATGACCATCATATCTCGAATAGCATCGGAGAGCGTTTTGAAAGTATTTAGAATTAACTTACAGTGCATATATTAACATATATTTATGTCTTTGTTTCATGAAGCAAGAAGAAGCTCCTATTGAACCCATTATCCACCAGAACGGCGCCCCAAAAAAGGTAGGATTCTTTTTCTAAATATAACATATTTGGTCAATATACAAGGTGTCCCGTTCATGTTTCAAAAAAACTTGTGTGCAAGTTCCCCAGGGGAAAATAATAGGGGTAGTTCATGTAAAGTTTTTTTCTTAGACCCCGTGTTTTCGAGATACAGTGTGTTGAAGTTGTTACTTGCCATATGGTTTTCCTTAATTATCTTTCAATCGGCTAAAGATAAAAATTTCAAAATTTGTACACGAGTAAACATCAACTGTTCGTTAAGAATATTGTGCAAACGGTTTCTTTCTGAAAAGCAGTGTCGCCGATACGGGTAATTGAGGATACACTTGAAGGAAAAATATGTTAATAGTCAAAATTTATTACATTTATAAACTATTCTGTAAACTCCAAAGCATACTACAAAAAAAGGTATACTTTTACATATTTTTTTTCGATTGTACCCTCCAATTTTTATCTTTAGCTGATTTAAAGATAATTAAAGAAAACCATTTGGAAAGTAACAACTTCAACACACTGTATCTCAAAAACAGGGCGTCTAAGAAAATAACTATGAACTACTCCAATTATTTTTCCATGAGGAACTTGCACACAAGTTTTTTTGAAAAATGAACGGGACACCCTGTATGTAAGTGTAATTTAAAAAATAATGTTTTAAACACGTAGATTTTTAAACTTGCTAAGTAAATATTTTAGAACAAATTAATGGATTTTATTAATATACGTATACAGTGTGGCTCATTAAGAAAACATATCTTTTGTATTGATGACCTTCTAGATGTACTTGTTGCTCCACAATTATGGTGATCCAGATTTTAGAGATTTCTTATTAAAACATCAGCAGTGTCAGTGTCGGTCATCGTCTTTAGGCTTTCCAAGGCCTCCTAGCCTTTTCAACGGAAAGAGAAACTTGATAAATTCAAAATTTTCAACTTGTATTCACAATTTCTTAAGTGATGCTGATTTTTTGCAAGTAAATCCCCAAAAATCGCTATCAAAAAATCAACAAGACATGAACAACACGATCGTCACAATTGCGTTTCAACAATCAAAAAAATCATTCGAAACGCACGTTCCAAAAAACAAATGTAAAGAGGCTTTTATTGAGTCACACTGTATATATAGAAAATTAACCTTTCTTCTTGCATTATTTTTAAGATCTGCCTCTTTACATCACCAGGCGGCTAGCCTAAAAGAGATTTTCGATAACTAACGGTATATACTTTTTAATTCTAATTAATTGATGTTCTCTCCGTAGATTAAAGGCTCCACGTTTTTTTGTATAGCTAACAGTTATACAGATTGATAAAACGGTAATAAATTTGGGATGAAAGCGGGCAATTATTGAAATCTATTGAAATTATAACGTCGTTACGTAAAAGCAAGAATATTTTCGTGAATGCAAAGTTTCTCGGGTCCTCGCGACTACAAGACCGGTAAAATCGATAAACTAAACCCATTGGTGACTTGACGATACAAGCGGCTCAAAAAATAAAGATTTTTTGAAGAGCAATAAAACCAAATCGTTTTTAATCCTGCTGTTAATTGAGATTAACCGAGATTGTAGTAAATCTCGAGTGAAGGGATTAATTTGTCAAATGTAGAAAGTCCACTGCATCGCATGAAATAAAAATTACTAAGATACCATTATTATTAAGTAGGCAGCGACGAAGAAAACAAATGAACTTCCTGTTATCAGGAGATTTCCGGTTATCCTCTGATTAGGCATAACATCATAGTTGTCTACGCATTCCTATGAGTCAGTGTAATGGCGTAGTAAAATAAGCTGTTAGTTTCTGTAAAAAACTTGCGTTCAACGACAAATACAAGAGAACATGTGTTTTTCTTATAAAACTTATTGTAATAACAATAAACCTTTTTAATTGACCACGTTGAGATATGTGCAGTTTGAGGGATTTATTTTAAATTACCTCAAGTTTGACTGAGCACATTGAGCGTAAGTTCACTTAAAAACGTGCTGTAGAATTTTCTGGCGGTTAAGCTTCCTGCTACAAGTACTGATATAATAGTTCACTTTTCTATTTGTTCCGTTTGACTAATCGGATTTTTCACACTAGCTTGATATGGTGCCAATATTAACAGACAAAATAAGGATAAAATTATGGAATAAGTACTTTGCAATTATTCATTTTGCGATTAAATATCATGAAACAAGTTTCCAATTTCTTATACATTAATTCGACGAAAATTACCGTAGTTTTTAATCAGTTGCGTCTAAAAATTCACTTTATCCGACTTAATTAAACCTGTCGAGTGATCTCTGGATTTAATGACGTCACAATCAGGATCGATTCTTTTGTTCTATAAAAATGTAGATTGTACTAAATAGGCGAGTATGATTTATTTCGTATACGGTTGCCTTTAGCGCGTAGATTTAAATATTTCAATAAATATCTCGTATGTATCGATAGCAGAAAAATTGTACAGCTAGCATTTACTGCAGCAACTGTTTCTTCAAGGACATTAATGTTGATAGCAACATGTAAGCTTATATACCGACATTCATTTTCTCTCATTCGCATCAACGGTAGTTTTCTTCTTCAATTTTTAATTCTGCAAGACTAGTTCGGCCTTAAATTCCATTTTAGCTGACATCTGGCAATGGTGAGCCAGGAGCAGACGTTTGTTACGATAAATATAAGCATACGACGGCCTCTCTTTCCTCTTTGCGCTCGCAGTTGGAAAACTAGATCGAGGATTTTAATATGTATTCATTACCATAATTCTTGCCCGCCAGTATTTATTTAGCGTTCGTAAATCGTGGCGTGTTGCAATTTTTATCATTTATTGTCTTATTTTTAGTAAAGAATAAAGCTGTTAAGTTTGAATAAACATGCTTAAATAACTTTGTTTTCTCAAAAATTGTAAAAACCACCATCATTACCCCAGTATTTGTCGATTCATGTAGATACACTGTTCTAAATTCTTGTTTGTAAAGTATAAAAGCTTTATACTAGAAGAGTTTCTTCTGCAATTCTCAGTTCTGTCAAACAAATAAATTTAAGTTCATTAAAATTTATGTTTAATTATCTGTCATAATCTATTAATCTAAACAGTTGCATAAAGCTTATGTTTTTAATGAACGGCAAATAAATGAGAAAAATTGTTAATAGTATAGGTACCTACTACATTACATCGCAGTAAATGTTTTGACAATAAATGTCACGATTGCCACATTGGGTCTTGTTTAAATAATTGAACTGATAAATATGGTCGTTTTCCATTGTTTTTTTTTTGTATTCAGAGTGCAACAGTTTTTATCTTGAACAACTTCAACAGCAGATAAGGATTTCGAGAAATACAGATAAATCTTCAGCGTTGTTAGTGATTTTCGTATATTTTATTTAGATGCTTAAAGCCTCTAAGCATTAAATTACACATTTTATGTACATGATAAACTTAAATTTTCCGTTACAATACAGGGTGTCCCAGAAATAACGTGGCAAGTTCCTATAAAAATTTTCCCTAGATTTTAATAACTTTGTGTAATTTAATTATTTTTAGGGAAAAACAAATTTTAATAAAAGTGGAATTTTTTAGTTAGGCACAGAAAGAATACAAATTTCATCAGTTTATTTCTCTTTCCGGATGTAATAAAAATCATATTAAACAAAAACAGTTTTTTACTCGAAAACTGTTCACTTTATCGATAGCAACCAAGAGTGCCGTTTTTAGTTTAAGGTTCAAGATATCTAAAAATATTCTTTTTGTGCCTTTGTCGTAAAGATTGTAAAAAAATGGCATTATTGTGCTACAAATTGTTTTCATGGGTCAATTGGTAAGAAATCTTATCTGTTGTCCATCGTATTAAATAATAATTAAATTACACAAAGTATTTTAAGGGGCATGCAACTCCGTAGTGGGGCCTCTAAGGAAAATTTTTATAGGGATTTATCATGTTATTTTAACGTCCCCTGTATAAATCCGAGAGATTGTCCATATATTCTGGGACACTCTGTATATAGTTACCGTGGTACATCGTAAAACTTTTATGTTTGAGTTGGTCTCAAGTGACGTCATACGGAGACAGGACGATATTTTGCCGGCTGACAAGCACAGCTTACTATTTTTACACCACGTTGTGATACTTGGTCTATCTACAGGGTATAAGAAGTTTGACTGCCATTACTTTAGCGTGAGATAGAGTAATCATAAATGAACAAAAAAAGATTAACAGTTTTCAAAATACAGCGAGTATTAATTTTGGGGGTTTTCTTCCCACGTTGCCACCGGGGTTTACCTTGTGATGCACACCACGTGTACACGCGGCATACTTGTCCTACGGAAAAAATGTAAACAGCTATTATTGTGAAACATTTAGTAAATTTCAAGACAATTGTTTTCCAGTTTTTAAATAAATAAAGTAAAATGTACCGATTTTTTAGTACGAAGATAGTGGTGTGCTTAAATTTTAGCTCGAATTTTAGTAATTATGAATCTCTTAAAACAGGAACTTATCTTTTAATCTAATATGTAATTAAAGTACTCAAAAGTTCACGTGGTCCAAATAATCATACGTATTAAAAATAATTTAGGTACTTTTTGTTTATTTTAATGTATTCTATCGTCTGTTAAAATTAAGACAGTCAAACTTCTAACTCCCTGTAGATCTAGGACGCTTACTCAGAAAATTTAACGTTTGTAGGCCGTAACCTATTATTATTATTTATTGCATTTACCTCTCTATTCAGTTTAAGTAACGAATCTCCTATTTTCGAGGTTATGCTATCTGAGGTCTGACTGTCGATCTCACTGCCCCCTGGCCACAGACGACCTAACTTCCCTAAGACTGGGCAATGTCAACAATTAGAAGAACTCTCTCGTCCTGAATGTCTGTCTAATGGGGGACTTTAATAAACATAATGCTACATGACAGAATATTATAAAAAGTTTTTCCTTCACATATATTTTTAAGAATTCCGATGAAACATGATAAAGAAAGACCATGATAAAGATTTTGACTTTATTAATTATTCTGTTTG